GAAATACTTTCATCCAACTGGTTAACATAGCCTTCATGTCTTTTTCTTAGTTATTGTGTTAAGACATTTATATTCTACATTTAGAGAGATTCACATGTACCCTTATAGGATGACCCATAGGCGTGATCCCACCAATCACCCTCCCTCCACCCACCCTCCCCTCTAGGTACATTTTTCTATAGCACAAATCATGCCGGACATTCCATTTTGTCTCCTGCTTTGGGGTCTTAAATATTTTAATTTGTTGTTATATGGTCCTCATCACCATTTTATTTATTTTTGAGACAGATTCTCACTTTGTCCCCTCAGTACAGTACAGTGGCATCATAGCTCACAGCAACCTCAAACTCTTGATAAAGTGATCCTCTTGCCTCAACCTCCTGAGTAGCTGGAACTACAAATATCCACCACAAAACCTGACCAATTTTAGAGACAGATCTCACTCCTGCTCAGGCTGGTCTCGAACTCCTGAGCTCAAGCAATCTACCTGCCTTGGCCTCCCAGAGTGCTGGGAATACAGGTGTGAGCCACCATGTGTGGCTTCATCTCCATTTTAATGGTTTTAAAAGTTTTTTCAAATTATTTATTTCCAGCAATTTTCTTAGCCATATTCCAATTGCTACATTTAGCATTTCCAGTTTAGGGCAAGAGATACAGGAAATACACTCCCATATATAGGATTTTCTGTCTTTTAGACTTTTTCTTGGGCTGGATTCCTGGAAGTGTGTGATAAAAGAATCAGGGAAGGGAACATGAGCATAGCTCTTACTGCATGTTGCCAAATTGTTTTTGAAAGTGGCCTGCAAGAGTGGCAGTCAGTTAAGTCTTCCAAATTTCACTTTCACCAATTTCACTTTTCACATTAGAAAATTGAAGGGAAGAGAAGTTAAATGACCACCGCAGGTCCCAAGGTTTCTGTGCTAATCCTGACCAGTAACACAGACATGTTTAGACTTTACCAGCTTGCCCTTTGGTGTTCCTCTTCATACATCTCTGTGCACATTTGCTTAAATCATTTTTCACAGACATTTCAGACATATTTATGTTTAAAGTAGACATAAAATCATATTTTTAAATTTCATTATATTGTCCAAAAGAAAATAAATATTTACAGTGTTAGATGATATTGTTAATATTATATATTTCAGTTTTTTCTTCTACTTACTGTGTAGAATATACATACATAATGATATAACTAACCCACTTGCGTGATAGAAAATTAACCAAACTTGATTCATGGCTGAATGGAATTGTTCCTTCCAGTATCCTTCCTTGCTTCATGGGAATGGTCCATTTGGTTTATGATAAAAACCAAACACACCCATCAAAAGGCATAGGGATGTTGCTTCTCTGAAATCCTTGAATGACGTCCAAATACTAATTTAGAGTGTGTGTCTTGCACTATTAAAAAGTTCACTTTGTTTTTCATCAGCACTTGGGCATAGTGGTAGCACAGATTTGAAGAAACGAGATACAATCTATTTCAAATATGGTAGTAGTAGTAGTAGTTACAGATTGTGTACACTGACTGGTATGTGTTTTCTTTCTTATTAAAGGTCAGTCAGCCTCCACTTCAGAGAATACTGTTGGTGATCTGTATAAAACGCGAACTTCCAGCACAGCCCTCTCTCTGAACTCCTTCCGTGCTGTCACGTATTATTCTAAAGTTATTCCTTCCTATGATGCAGCTACCATAACAAATCAGAACATTTCGATTCATTTACCTTCAGCTGTGCCCAAAGTCTCAAAGTTTCTTCCCCATCACTGCAATTCTGTGTTGGGCCAGACACGCACAACTCATCCCAACTGTCTGGTAAGTTTTCTGGTCTCCATGGATCAGATTGGACTTTTTCTTTTGTGCTAGCAGCTGGCAGGGGCCCCTAATTTGTGTTTTGTTGTTAATCCTCTGGTTGGAAGGCTGGGGCTGTGAGCTGTGCTGGTTTCTAAGTTGCTCTACACTGATGAGTGAAAAGGAGATGCAGCTAACCCAAGCTCTTGTTCTCTGTGCCGCAGAGCTGGTATCTGGATGTCCAGAGTCCGTTGAGTCTGGATGCAGCTCTGCTAGCTTGACTGTAAGTGACAAGACGGGACCTGATTTCCTCTGGAGCTGAGTGCCCCCCCCCACCTCCTGCTCTCAGTTAGACCTTCTGTAGTATTACCTCCCATTTCTCCATCCTCATCCTCAACTGGCTCCATCTCAGGCTGGCAGCCTCTCTCATAATGACTCAGAACCTGTTTCTCCAGTCACCAACCTGGTTGATTTCAGACTTCAGACACTGTGTGTCCTCCCATAGTAGATGTGTACTGAGCACTCGTTACATTCCAGCATCGTGCTGAAAATGTAAAGACAGACATGATCTGTGCCCTCATGCAGCGTTTAGTGTCATAGGGATGCAGACAGAGACCATGTATGGTACAATCTAGACTTGGGAGCACTCAGGCTGCCCATACCCCTGGAGGAGTCTGTGCCAAGATGGAAAGAGCAGGAACCAGTCAAGGAGCAGGGTTAAGAGTCAGGGGTGAGGAGGGCAGAGCACCCCCAGCGCATGGAAATAATGACATCTGTATTTTGGGGGGGGGAGAACTGTTCAGTTCCAGAGGAAGACCCAAACCAGATTGATCTGCTTAAAGTGGACTTCTGATAACTTTATGGTCATTCCTAGGACTCTTGTACATTACTGATAGCTACCATCCTTCAAGCACATGGTAAATAATATGCCAGGTAATCTGCACACTTGATGCAGATGATGTAACACATCCCTGAAGCAGCCCTTTGAAGGGAGATACTGTTAATGATCACCGTGTGACATCTATGGGTATAAAATGAGAATAGTGACCTTCCCAAAAACATTTGTGAGAAAAATATTCAAAAGACAGATATTTACGAAGAAACGTTAAAATATAGAGTGCCTGCAGATATAGTATTGTTGCTAATGATAATCCGTATTCCAACAGGAAGACCAGGGCGAAGGAAAGAAAGGATTACAAAATTAGTCTTTTTTATTGTTTATCTATACTTTTTTCTGTGTCATTTTTCTCTAAGAATTGTTGTAAGAAATTAATTACTTTTATTAGCAATAAATAAAAACCTGTGTATTTAAAACCTGGAGGTTCGTTCACCTGAAGATTTCACATAGTTTTACAAGCAACTGCCTGTTGTGTTAGAATGTGGAAGACACCTTTGTGACATTATGAGTAAGAACAGACTGGGATTCAGTTAATGCATATTTCTTTTTCTTTTTTGCAGCAACAGTTTTGGGCATATTAATAGCACATGTTTGAAACTCACACTCTAGACCACCCATTGGGCACAGTTTGACAATACAGGAAAAGTAGAACAAAGAATGATTTTGAAAGCTCCACCCAGAGACCTAACATTATCAAAAGAGCTGGCACAGTTTGCCTTCTGATAAATGTGCTCAAAGTTTCTGCAGAGGGAAAGACCAGAAGCAAAAGGGCGAGCCACACAGACCAGCCACACACTCTCTATGCACACTTGGATCTCCCTGACCAGAGCGCCGCCAGAACAAACTGCCTCCATGACCTACACTCTTTGTTCTCAGAAAATATTCCACTGTCTATGGAAAAAGTGTATGCTACAAAAAAGGTCTATGTGAATTGAGGTTGGGGAGGTGTATGAATGCCTTGTGTCACTGAGTACAGACACTGCACCTCCATTCCTATTTTTAGTATCCATGTGCATTACTGTCACTTATTTCTAGGTGGTGTCTGCCAGAATTGATATTTTAGAGAATTTCCTCCTTTATTCACCATCCAAACTTAGATATAGAGAGATGCTGATATATTGATGTGTTTTTGTACTTCACAGTCCCTTGAGTGAAATGATAGCTAATAGGTAAATTTTTCTTTCTGGATCTTTCGTTACAGACTAGCAGGTCTTTGCTTTATTTTTCATTTCTTCCTCCCTTAAGGGTATTAGAAAAGACTGTTGAAAACATAGGAAGAAAAATGCTTGTTTTATATTTCACTGAAATATTCTTATGTATACATTTTATCATTAAAGAAAATATTCAGTTTTGACCCTGAAAGCGGTAATCCATTTTTCCTTTGTTTAATAAATGTATGTTCCTACTTTTGATAGTACTATATAAAGAATTTAATTTCCTAGAAATTTTATTTGGGAAACTTAAAAATTACTGTAGGCATAGCCTAACTTTCATGTCAAATCACATAGCTTTTCTTTGAGGTTGCCAAAATACTGGGATCTATGGGGGTCTGGCAGATTCTATAAAGAAATAAGAAGCTTCTGACAAAGGTTCTATGCTCACTCTTACAAACAAGTGCTTGGTTCTTCATTTCCTCGACCGTAGGAGTAATTGCTTTAACGTTGGAAGAGAATGTGTTGAGGTGTGTTGGGCATGGGGACTTGTGTTCCCAGCTCATCCTAATTCTTTCTGGGGCTCTTGAGTTTCCATCCATCAGAGATTCCCATGTCTACATGTGGACTGTGAGAGACATCTGAGGCTAGGAATTCTTCAACAGAGGACCGTTAGGGCCATCTCTATACTTGCTGTTCCTTCAGTCCCCACTTTAACAGAAAGAGGTGGTTACAAGATCCATTGTTAAAAAGTTATATATTTTTTCAAAGTTGTGATCCTGCACTTCATGCATGTTTCCAAACTTATTTCTAAATATGAGAATTTTATTACGCAACTCTGAGCCAAAAAGAAACGGTGAGGTCGACTTCAGCTTGTAAAAGAAGAACCAGAGTTCCTTTGTAAAATTAAGTTGGCTGGTCCTGAGACGGTTTGCAGCGTATGTTCACAGTGGAAAAGGTGCAAGGAGCTGGTCTAGGAAAGGTGACAGCTTGTAGCTTTCCCACAGGTGGTAGCAAAATTAGCAAGACACAGTAGGTGATCCAATACAGGGGTTGTGAGGAAAGGCACAGAATTAAGAGCGACACTTCGTTTTCTGGGTTTGGCAGGTAGGTAGACAGTACTGATGTTTGCTGAGAGAAGGCAAAGAAAAGGGCACATGGAGTGATGGCACTGGAAGGTGACAGCTCTGTTTGGGGATGTGTTGCGTTTGGGGTATTTGTAGGGTATCTCAGTGCACATAGTCAAAACACATTCAGTTACTGCAGCAGAGGCAAGAGACACCGGTAAGAGAGATGTGGTCTGGGAGTGGCCCAAGTGACCCAACGGGACCTTGGGAGTCTGCAGTTCTGTTGTCCTATGTAGTTGTAGTTCGTGACAGGTCACCTGGCCAGGATCCTGATGGTGTGTGGCATTGCACGCTGCCAGCATTCACAGCATGTGGATAAAACCCTCCAAGGCAGAGGGTCCCAGTTGCCGGGCAGCTGTTTGTTCATGGCTGCTTGTTTAATTGTAAGAAGTTAAACTTCTCTGAATTTCTAGCTTCTGACAAGTTCGAAAGATAGGCAATACTAGATCTGTTTCTAGTATGCCAAGATGGCAACAAAGTCTCCGGCCAGGGAACATGGGATATCAGCTCCCCTTTGCCCATGTTCCCCACCCCACCTACATGACTCATTGAGGTTACTCCCTTGTCCCTGCAGCTACCAGTTTGACTCTAAAAGGGGCAGCATGTCCCATATACAAAAAACTAACTTCAGGATTGGTGGTGGTGGTGATGGGGTGTTGTTACAATGCAGGCCATTTCCCCAAGGTCAGATCTGGTAGGCTTGGTTCACTGGTACTTAAGAATCTGCATTTTAACAAACACTACCAGGTATTTACTAACATCTAACATTTAAGATTATTCCTCTTAAAAACATGCAGAGACCACACTCAGTGGCTCATCCCTATAGTCCCAGCACTCTGGAAGGCTGAGGCAAGAGGATCACTTGAGGTTAGGAGTTCACATCCAGCCTGAGCAAAAGTGAGACCCCTCTCTACTAGAAATAAAAAAATTAACCAGGAATTGTGGTGGGTGCCTGTAATCCCAGCTACTTGAGAGGTTGAGGCAGGAAGATCACTGGAGCCCAAGAGTTTGAGGTTACTAAGAGCTATATTGGTGCCACTGTACTCTAGCTGGGGTGACCGAGCAAGACTTCATTTAAAAACAAAAACAAAACAGATGTAGGTACCCATGGGGGCAGGACAGAGGCAGTCTAAAACCACACATTATTGATTTCCCACCTGGCAATGCATCAGAAGCCCTTGATCTATTTCTAATACACCAAAGTGTACCATATGTTAGGGACTCTCTCTCAGAGACTGCAATTCCATAGTCCTAGAAAGGGGCCAGTACTCTGCCTAGGATGATTCTGATGTGCAGCTGGCTGTGGGAGGCCTGTCAGTTGCCACCATGCCAAACAGCACCTGGTAAGGGCTGGAGGTAAAGCGGGAGGACCAGCCAGGCAGATGACCATGGAGAGAAGGGCGGCTTCTACACAGATCGATGAGGAAAGACTTTGCTGAACTGGGTTCCCGAAACTGCACTGGTAAATTGGAAAGATGTGTAGTTGGTACAGCTGTGGGGAAACTCCAAGGAGGGAATACAGCCAGTGAGTTTGAGTAGGCAAGGACAGGGACAACCAGGAAAGTGAGGGGGTTTCACTAACTAGTCTGTCTAGCTGGCGGAGAGAACAGTATGGGGGGAGGCGCTTTTGCATTTTTATTGTTCATCTTTTAAAAATTTACTCTAAAGGAATTACTAAAAGCAGAATCTCACTTTTTAAAAATCATGAACATTGGAAAAGGTCTGTGATTTCTCTGAGTGATGTGGACATAGCAAAATCATGAGAGCCTGAATCATGAGAACCTGAGCCTCCTGGAATCTTCCTGGCCACCTATCCAGCCACTGGCTTTCTCCTTTCATGTATCTCCCTGTTACACGGAATGAGGAAGCAGGAAGCCGGTGGATCACCATAATTAATCGTTTATCAAGAGCTGATTTCGTCACTATGGTAACATGACACTCCTATGGAAGGCAGAGAAACCTCTTATCTTTGAATTTTTTGAGGGTTTTTTACACCCCACAATAATATTGTTTCCGAAAACAAAAGCCACAAAGATACACACAATATTATAATATCTTGTATGCTGCTAAATTTTACTCTTCAGACTCCAGTAAAAATATTTTTCATTTTTGCTCAAAGCAAAGGTTTCCAGAAGTCAGAGTATAAATGGAAGGGCTTAAGTGCTGCTGGGAGAAACTTCAAGGAAATAGACTTCTAAGATGCACAGATCAGCTCACTCTGAAAAGTGTCTGCTGAACAGTGTATCTGAGAAGTCCTTGCAAATTGATGTTCCTTTCTCTGCATTTCTTCCCCAAGTTTTCTTAAGGCTGGGCGAGGGTGCTGGAAGTGGCATATCTTACACAACACTGGATTCTTCCTCCTCCTGCCTGTCTCAGCCTATTTCCTTATGTCCTTCAAAATAGCAGCCAAGTGGACTGATGAGACTCCATGCCATTTTTAACTCCCCCATAGCAAATCTCAACATGACAAGCACCTTGCGAATTATTTTCCCCACAGATCTGAAGTGGGACTCAATTTTGAACTAGAAGCTATTGAAAAGTCGAAAATCTTTCCCATATATTAAGGTAGGCTCACAGAAACAAGAATAAACTTACTGGTTTCTTTCCCCACTGCTTTGGGCTAAGACTGCTTCTCTCATGCCTTGCTATTTTAACACTCCTGAATCCATTGTTTATGGAACATTAAGTAATGGGTGAAAAACCTACAGGATTCACATCCCTGGGGCAATTACTTGTTTAATATTCTTAGGTTTTATTTGCTATAATCAAAAAGAAGGCTGATGCAGTCAGAGCACTGCTTTTATCTGCTAATGGAGAACCATAGTCAGCTACCCTTTTGTGACATTTAACTGGCAAAATAATGATTTTAAATATCTCACTAAAAGAGACAGTCTAGACTTTTTCTTTTTTTTTTTTTTTTTCCCCAGTGCAGTAGGAAGTTCTACTCTTTTATAGTGTTAGGAAGGAACTGGGCACAAATGCCTTAAACCTTTGATCCCTAGAGAGCTGAGATACCGATTAAACTATTTCTTTTCTTTAAAAGCAGAAAACAGTGTTTGGAAAGTCTGAATGTGAACATACAGTCTTGATATAATGGAACTTTTTAAAGCATTCCTAAGCCTAACCAGAAACTGCTGCAGGATTTACTCAGAGCCCAAAATAACACATAGGTCATTATAAAAGTTGAGACAAGACTGTGCTATGGTCCATTGTGTCACTTTCAAGAAACTCAGCCAACGGCATCCTTTCTGATTCACCTGTGCCAGTTCCACTTTCCTCAGCTTACTGGTGTTGCTGGGAGGG